GACCGATTGTTTTAGCCAAAATCCTTTGAGTTATAACCATTAATCCAAGAGGGATTTATAGTGTAAATCTAAGCTCACGACATAGATTTATAAAAAAGAACTTTGGTGTAAATCTATTATGTACGTAAAGATATATGCGTATCGATATTCTCCACCTATGGTTGCTAACTACAACTTCTTCTGACGAGACTAAACTGACATCAAGTGTTCTTTCTTTGTTACTACATACCTTTTTTAATACATTAGTAATGATCTAGATACCTCCGTTTCTTATGCCCCGTCCAGGGCAGGAACGTTGATAGTGTCGGTTATTGGTTCATCTTAGATACTAGATTTGTTTTCTTACCGTATAAAAATTGCATTAGGTTTATACGGGGTCTTTGTTCACTTATAGTAGTTGAAAGAGACTGTAGTGTGATAATTTGTGACTCAAAACGATAAGTGTCAATATGTGAAATTAAGTCATATAACACTTAATTAACAACATGACATGATTGGTTAAGGTTTATTAACTTATAATTAATAAGTTATTTATATAAACCATTTTGTTTTTATACAAAAACATAATATTTATGTGGGAGGAGTTTGTCTCACTGGTTAAGTGTCAGTTTCCAAATTAAGTAAGATAACACTTAATTAATACCATGACACGAATTTACAAAGTTTATAAATTTGAAACTTATGAGTTTTACATATAAATTATATAAATTCTTGTACAATGTTTGAAGAGTAAATTTGGCTAATTTATGTTTTCACAAAATGTGATATGATTTTATTTTATATAAATTGGTATTCAAATCTTATATAAAAAGCATTTTGGTCATGGAACCGTAAAATTGGATATAAGTTTGTTTTACTTATATATTTATCAAATGATGTATTTTTGGATTTAAGTGAATGATATTTCTAAATAAATCTAAATACACTTTTATAACTCAATTATTTTATACTTTTGATAGAAAAGAACGTATTTATAAAAGTTGGTCAACCAGATAAATTTTATAAAACACTTTTGAGTATAAAAATACTTTGTGTCAAAACCTGTAGAACTCATCAACAATTTTGTTGACGTATCTTAATGCATGTATTCTCAGGTTATTTATAAGGTCAGAATTGTCCCTACAAAAGACCCTTCGTTATTTTTATCATACATTTGTAAACGCTGGATTGTTAGGCGTGTGTCGCGATTTAGCGATAACTGTTTTCAATGTAATTTTTATTTCGGTAATAATAAAAGATTTTATTTATACCGTTCAATAACTGTGATCGCTGATTTACATCGCGCACCTCGTCGGAAGTTTCCGTCGACACTCGGGGGTGAGACACAATTTACTTGAATATTTCTTGGATTGTGATTCCAATCATTTTCCAAAATTTGTGATTTCGACCCTATAGCTTAGGGTATCACGAAATCAGATTTTATATAATTCAAAGAATTTCAATTTAGAAGTCATGCCATTTTTATATCAGAAACACAAAAAAAATACCTAGTTGTTTTTTGTTTTTGAGAGACAGAACAAATCAAATGTATGATTTTTGTGTATATATGTTCCAACCCATTTTTTGAAACCAAAAAAGCTTCTTAAACAAGAGGGAGAGTAGTTTAACCAAAGTTGCATACTTTTTGGCATAAAAAATGATAGTTATTAAGACATAACCAACTTATGACATCATCATGATATCAATAATAGTTTTGGTGGGAATTTGCATAGATGGACTCATATCTGACATAGAAATCCGTTTAGGTTTCGGGGCGCTACCCCTTGGAACCGTGTCCGCTGATCGGTAATATACTAGTATTTGAGCCTGTGCCTTGCCACATGTTCTTACGTGTGTTTTTCTTGCGTATTAAACATGAGACTTGATTAAATAAGTATAACATATCACAACTTCAAAAAATACTAAAAGTTTAAAAGAAATAAATGTTGGGTGCCTTAACAAAAGTTGAAAAGAGTTTACTAACTATTTTTGTAAGTTGAATGATTTTTCAATAATCCATAAAAGTACAGGTGACATAACTTTAAAAGTAGTACAATGTGCATTATACAATGTAGACGAGGAAAAATTCGAAGACACAGGATAAACACGAAAGTTTAAAAAATAAAGGGGGTAAAAGTGATATCTTATAAAGTTGAAGGTGGAAAGGGTGAAAGTTACATTTTAAAAAGTAAAGGGATGGAAAAATGAAAGGGTAAAAGTAACATCTTACAAAGTTGAAGGTGGAAGGAGTCAAAGTGATATTTTATAAAGTAAAGAGGTAGAAAATATAATTTTACTAGAGGGTTTGCAAGTGATAGATATACAAAGTTAGGGGATTAAAATTGCAATTTATGCATTGATATATTTATGCATTGTGCATTAGTTGGTTGTACAATTACCTATACAAATTTAGTATATATATTTTGTGCAACAAAAAAACTAGTAATGAATTTATATATTTTGTTTGACAATATTTCATTGAGAAATATTAATCTCCGATACACTTTCACCTGAATGATTGTCAAAATAATAAATAAAAAAATACATTAGTGTTTTTTCACTATTTTCGGATTCATATCTATCTAGAGCCTTCTGGATATATCTTTGCACATGGTAGTATGGTGGATGAGACGATCTGTTGTCCAAATTGATGAAGAGTTTCGGGAAATCGATCGGCCAATACCTCTACCTCTGTTGTGGGTGGTAGTCCATTAGCCTAAAATCACTATGTCATAGACATAAATAACTCATTCTCGCTTCATTTCTTTTGTTTTGGTACTCTTACAAGTACATAAAACCCATATTTTTTTTTGTCAAAACTTAGTAAAAGGTATAAAAGTTTTCCGAAAATATTATTATTTTTGAACTTGTTTGTTCTTTTCAAGCTTATTCATGATTTTCGAACTTTGTCAAAGTGTTTTGAAGATACAATGTTCATGATTTTTAGAACAAAACAAATAATAACATATTTCTCCTGGTGCAAAATGATTGTGAGCAAGAAACTTCATAGATTTTTTATATGTTTCGAACATATTCTTCAGAAAAAAGAAAAAAAATACCCAAGGATTTTCGACAATCAATTAGATGAGATCAATTCGAAAAAAAGAAAACACATTTTTGATAATCCCTATATTGAAAATATGAGCCTATGTTGTACACTCGAAAATGGTACGACATTTTCGAAGAACTCTATTTTGATCATATGTCGATAATTTTGGAAATATTGGTTATTATAGGGGAGAGTATTTTTTTTTATGTTATATGGTATCCATACATCTAAAATGTACGTGTCACTTATAATCTTAACTATAAAATCTAAAATGCACGTGTGACTTTTAATCTTAACTATAAAAATGTGTTTGTAATTTGTAGTTGACTTGGTTTGTTGGGTGCAAATAATTGTTTATTATAGGGGTGAACATGGTTCGGTTTGGTTCGGCTTTTGACCAAAACCGAAAACGAACCAATAGTTTTGGATTTTCATTTTAGAGAAACGAAACCGTCATTTTTTTGTTTCGTTTTTTGTTTTTGGTTTTCGGTTTTTTCTGTTAACATATAACATAAATACGACTTTTGATGGGCATCAACATATACTCCCCTACATGTTTATGATATATTCAAAAGAACTTTTAACTTATGACGAAACATCTTTCATATTTTAGAACGACTCACAAGACAACCTTACAAAAGTTGTGTACCTTTTTTATACTTTCTTTCTTTTTTTACTTATAACATCGACAAATTAAAATGAGACATTTATTATACAAGTATTACACAACATATGTTCAACTTTTATATGTATAATGTGCTTATGAATAATTTATTCAAGCATAATATAAAAATAATTTGGATATTATAAATATTTTAATGCATGAAGTCGAACGGTTGTTAGCTAATATTAACATATTTCTCTTAGTGCAAAATGATTGCAAACAAGGTTTCGAACATGTTCTTTGGAAAAAAATAATACCCAAGGATTTTCAAAAATCAATTAGATGAGATCAACTCGGAAAAAAAAAACACATTTTTTAAAATTCTTATATCAAAAGTATGAGTCTATGTTATACACTCGAAAATGGTACAACATTTTCAAAATCTCTATTTTGATCATCATATGTTTATAATTTCGGAAATACTGGTTATTATAGGGGAGATTATTTTTTATGGTATATGGAATCCATACATCTAAAATGTATGCGTCACTTATAATCTTAACTATAAAGTCTGAAATGTATGTGTGACTTCTAATCTTAACTATAAAAACGTGTTTGAAATTTGTAGTTGACTTGGTCTCTTTGGTGTAGATAATTGTTTATTATAAGGGTGATTATAGTTCGTTTTTGACTAAAACTGAAATCGAATCACCGAAACTGAACCAATAGTTTGATTTTTTTAGAGAAACCAAACCGTCCTTTTTTTTTTTTTTTTTTTTTTTTTTGGTTTTTGGTTTTTTCCGTTAACACATAACATAAATACAACTTTGATTTTTTGATTTTTTTTAGTTTTTGGTTCGGTTTCGGTTATTTTTCACACTCCTAGTATATTAGGTCAAAATTGGATGCAGCTGGAAGTTGAGGGACTTGAGAGACTCTCTTTGTAGCTGGAGGACTAAAGTGAAAAAGATGGAAGCTCAAGGTGTAGACCGGAAGAGTAGTCGTACATAAAAATATATGTTAATACTTTTCGGTATCATCTTCATTATTATCAAATTATTTTCGAGAGAGATACGCTTTTCGTTTACATAGATACAGAGAGATACTCTGATCGTTCTTGTATGTATTCCAGGGTGTTTTTTGTTCTGTAATGGACTAATGGTTGATGGTTTGGTTGTCTTATTCAAAAAGTACTTATTATTTATTTTATTTTATTTTTTTAACATTCTTTTTAACATTGCTTTATAATAATTAATAATTTTAGTATCTACATATTAAATAATTTTTTTTTTTATGAAAATCATATTTAAAATATTTTAAAATCTACATGCGTGTCATGCGTGGCTCTAGTGGAAAGTGACTTCAGAGTCATATGACCAAATTGTTGCCATTATCATTAGGTTTTGATTCTCGTGACTCCTCAACACTATCTATTGTCCTCATCTGTTATAGTAAAACAAACAAACAAAAATCATCAATATTTTCAGTTTTTTTCAAGTTGTATCATACAAGAATTCAATCTAAAAAATTGAACTTTCAAATTTAAAATGAAATATTAATTACTCTCTTGAATTTTACGAAGAAACCTCCTTATAACTTTTTTATAGAATCAAACTTTAAAAAATCAAAATTCATATATTTTGGTTTGAATTACTAATAAAGTCTAAACAATTAAACTCCGAAATAAACCAAAATCAAGTTAACTATTGTAATCAAAATCAAACAAATACAATTAGCCTCATTCATAACAAGACCCTACATGATATACACAGTTACACACCAAAAACTGGACACGAATCGGGTTAAATAAATCAACAAAAAACCAAATAATAACAATAAAAAAAAAAACATACTAAAATCATACACCCTCAATTACTACTCACATTATACGCCATTTTAACCACCACAGACAAATGAATATTCACGACATGACTCCTATCACCAAAAAGCCCGATTCTTCCAAAACTCGCAACACTGCTATTCATGGTTGAATTCAACAACACATTCAACACCTGTTTTTCACCACTACCAATGCTAAAATGAGCCGGTGTGACCTTCATAGAAACCCCATAAGGAGCATTCCAACCCACACTATAAGACTCATTCATCCCACCAACATTAGTCACGGTTCTTTGAACCACTCGAGACCGGTTCAGTGCTGCAACTGTGATGGAAGGTAAATTCAGGTCAACACCGGTCAACACTGTTGTTGTGGGCCCACATGTGGTCCCCGTGTAGTTTAGCACCACGGCTTCTGACCCGTTTATGCCACATAGGAATGACATGTAGTCTTCATACCCTGCAAAAAGTGCAATTACTTAATTAATTCAATTTAGGAAAAGATGATGATGATAATGATGATGATGATGATGATGATGATACCTAAATCAAGAATGAGTCCAGGATCTAATGCTGCGGTTGCATTTACAAAACCACTTCCCATATCAAAGGGTGTTGCGGGAGACTGGTTTAAATCAGGGTTAGCATACGCACGTTGTGCCATTATGGGCCCACCATCTTTATCCCGTAGAGAAGCGGTAGTTGATAACGCGGACCCGATTGCTGACGGGGTAAAATGGGGAAACTTTTGTTTAATTAATGCAGCCAGCCCCGCTACATGAGGAGCCGCCATACTCGTTCCCGACATCATCGCAAAATCCTCACCTTAAAAACATCAAATCAACATCACTCAGTATGAGGAAGGTATTTACGTCTTTTTCTCAGATAGGACAAAAGATTGCAGCTTTTGTCCCACTAACATCAGTACCGGTACCAGTATTGGTTAAACCAAACACATTACAACCTGTTCTGTTCTGTCCTGATTACAGATAAAATAACTATTACCGAGGAATTCAACTGAATCAGTGCCACCGGAACTCCAAGCAGCCCAAATGGAATTTCCAGGAGCAACAAGATTTGGTTTTAATATATCGGCATCTTGAAGGAAATTATCTTCTGGATCTGGTCCTCTAGCAGAATAATACATTATTTTTGGAGCACTGTTACTGAAATTTGCTTCAACTCCACCTACAATGCATGCAACACCTCCAAATTTCACTATCTTTCTTGAAACTGGATCTCTCTCTAACGTAGAATTATAGTACTGAAGTAAGATCTGTAAATAAATAAAAAAAGTTAAACTAGAATGTTTATATGTGTATTAAAAGTGGTGAAATGGTGAAATTACAACTGACCTTGGAATCATTGGAGGATGGAATTATGATTCCGGGGAGACTCATTGGAACAGGATTGAGTTGAAATCCAATGATGAAAGGATCCATGGAGAATACAACTCCAGCTGCACTCAGATTTCTAGCTGTTTCAACAGCGTTGTTTATGGTAGATTGTCCAAGAACGAATTTGATGGAGTAGCTACAGATTAAGAGGTTTCCTTGGATAATTGTTTGATTCAAGCTACTTGAATCTTGGCATTCGTTTACGTATTCATCTGTTGGTGTTTCTGAATCATTCAGTGCGTCTGTTGCAGAAACTAAAGTGTAATCTTCATCTGTTCCAGCTGTACAAAGAGGAGAGATGTTACAACTTGATTAAAAAAAGTAAAAAAGAAATAAAATTATCAAACAAACATACGTGCAAGTCCGACTCCTTGAATGGTGATGTTATTCCCAAGAAGAATGGAATTGCTATACTTGCGATCATGTGCAGCTGCACCCACCGTAAAGATCCATGGACTAAAGGAAGAAACACTCTTGGGTGAAGGCCCGGTGTTACCCGCAGCTTGTACAACAAAAATACCCTTTTTATACGCTGATAGCAATGCCATGTCTATTGGATTAAAAAAAGTAGCAATTCCAGGTGGACGTCTGTTGGGTGTTATTGATAAACTTATAACATCCACTCCATCTTGAGCTGCCTATAAAAAAAATTAAAAAATATCAAATCTCGACTATTAAATTACATCATAAAAAGTCTAATTTAATGTTTTACCTGATCAATGGCAGCAACAACATCAGCAGCAAAGCCACCGAAGCTTTTGTACAATGCTTTGTAAACAGCAATGCTGAAAAACATAAAAGTTAATTGTTGACATTTCTTGAAATTTCTACCAGAAAATCAAAATTTTGGTTTGTTTTACGTACTGTGAACGAGGGGCCATTCCACTGGCATTCCCAAAATGATGCCCGGCTACAACAACTGGGATCCCATGGTTTCCCGCAGCAATAGAAGCTGTGTGCCTGTGATTATTTTTAGTATTTTATATTATTGTAAAAATTTAAATTAAGAAGGTTAAAAATATAAAATACAAAAAATACTCACGTCCCATGTCCATCTCCATCAAATGGTGAAGCGTAATCTTGAGATGCATTAAAGATTCCTCTTGTGATAGCAGAAGCTGCAAAATGGCGGGCCCCAACAAGCTTCCGGTTGCATGACCCGGATGGGAAATCCCGTGTCACCTCACAAACACCCGTGAAATGCTCGGGAACCGGATAGTTATTTTCAGATAACCCGTCAGCAAAACTCACATGGGTCGGGTCAATACCCGTGTCAATTAACCCGATTACAACCCCTTCGCCAGCTGTCTCATATCCACCTTCTTGTAACCAAGCACCTTGAGGTAACCCTAGGAACTGTGGTGTATGTGTAGTTGCAGTTCTAACAGAGTAATCGGGTATCACATTTGCCACTTCTTTTCGACCCGATAACTTTTGTGCCTTTAATGGATCGTTGATAAAATAATTAATGTTTATGTTGTGATTTGATTTCATGAAGATTGTTTATTATAGTTATATTTATACCTGTTGTGGAGTAACAAGAACAGCGAATCCGTTTATTAAGTAGTGATAGCTGTATAATTTGAGATATTTTTCTCCTTTTAGAACTCGCCTCAATAATGAATCATGAACTCTTGCGATTCGGGAACCATAACGATGGTGTTTGCTTGTGATGTTTTTGAAACTAAATTAGGAAGCAAAAGAAATTATTAATCAGGGTTACTATTGACTATGATATTACATTTCAAGAAATTAAATCAAACATATAGAAAAGTTTATCATCAACATTTAGTATCAATATTAAAGTTGAAAAGCAAATCACTTTGATCCCCACAGTCAAAGTGCATACTTTCATCAATTCACAATTTGACATGATCACTAATTCACTATCACCGCATAACTATTTTGTCATCATTAATGGTGGTAAAGTAGGAAGCACAAAAAAGATAACGACCTAAAATAATGCATACAAAATTTGTATACTTACTAAACTAGGGTTACTTTTAACCCTAACGGGTTAAAAAATTACCAATAAACTAGGAGTAACTTCGCACATTTTCATTTCAAATCTATCACTACCGAAGTACCAAATATTGACTATAGACATTCTATGAAAAGGATAAGCTAAAAACGAATCATAATTCATAACTACTACATTGAAGATGAATGAGAAATTAATGACAAAATCGAGAAAACCCATATCAATTTCGTAATCAGAAATGACTAAAACGCGTAAATGAATCTCATCACCTTGGATTTTCTAGTGTATTTGCTCCTCCAGAAGTAGAAGCTGGGAGCCCGAAAGGATGAGTCGTCTTCTTCGCTCTACTGGAATTGTGAAAAGAAGAAGGAGCTTGTTTAAGGGTAACCATGTATACACCTGCGGAGGTTCTATCCGTATCTTCCTGACATCGAATGCCGCTAATTAAAACCCCGAATAGCACCAACACCACGACTCGCACAATGCCCTCCATTCCCCTTTTTTTGTTCTAATTTTGAAGCTGTTCACTTGGTCCGACAAAGCAGAAAAGCAGAACTGCACACTAGATGGAATTTAGCTTAGTTTGAAAAGTTCTGAGAAGAACCCAGTAGGAGTCCATGTATGAACAGGTGAAATTGGGGGAATGGCCATGAGAGTAGAGAGGAAGAAACAACCTTTTTTGATGTGTGTGAGAGAGAGAGAGGAGAGAAGAGAAAGTGAAATGGCGAGAAAGAATCTGCAAAAAAGAGCTTCTGTCTTGGGTGGTGTGCACATGAACGTTTTAATTTATTTATTAGCAAAGAATTTATTTATGTAAAGCGGAAGCGGCTTAAATCATAACATTTTGCTTTTGTTTTTATTTGACTGTTCATTGATTTAAAGCCCACCACCACCGCACAACCAGTCACCACCTCCGTCCCACTCTTTTTCTCAAAGCATATAAGCCAATCAAACGCCGTCGGCAACTTTGTTTTGTATTACCTATTTTCTGGGGTTTATGAAATTACGAGTAAATTACATGAATGGTCCCTATGGTTTAGGTAATTTATGTGTTTGATCCTAACGTTTGTTTGTGTTACGCTTTTGGTCCCTTACTTAACTAAAAAAATTATTTTGCCGTTGATTTTTTTATTTATTTAAATAAAAACACACTCAATCCCACCCCATCACCTTATCTTATCCACTCCATCATTTTTTCTTATTTAAATATTAGTCTTTTTAGGTAATACAAGGACCAAACACGTAATAAAAACAAACAGTAATGACCAATCACGTAACAAAAACAAATATTAGAGATTTACTGAGTTAAAAAATAAGTTAAGGATCAAACGTGTAAATTACCCCAAACCATAAAGACTATCGGTGTAAATTACTCTTTTATTACTTATTTTCTGGGGTATATGGAATTAGATCATGTACCATTATTATCATTTAAGATTGTAATAATAACCTGATAAGTATTTTAAATTTTAATAACTAGTTTTCAACATTTAATACAAACTTATTTTGGCTTTGGTTTTGATTATTTAATGTCACAAAAAGAATTGACTACCGGGCAAAAAGAAAATGTTTGATTGGATACAATTTGTTTTAAACTATACCGGTGTTAAAAGGCTAGACATGTATATAGATTTGGTTGATCTCTTGATCTACTTAAAGTTTTTAAATGCCTATAAAAAAAATTATAAACCTACAAAAATTTCTTTCCTACCAACGTAGAATACAAAAAAATTAACAGCTCACAATTCCTTTATACACATAAAATTTGAGCATCATTTATGTACATGGTAAAAAGATTTCAAGTTTGCCATAATAGACATACATAGAATTTTCTTTCATTATGTTCGTTTTTCCTATGCACCTCACGCATAATATGAAGAATAAGAAGTGTTATTTTTGGCCATTTTAAATAAATTTCTTCACAATTTTGTATGGTTATGTATCTAACATATTACCGATAACTATCAAGGCATGAATAGTAACAATTCATGTATTTTGTGTTAAATATACGATGAAATACGTGTATGGCTTAGTAGTTCGGTTTCCAGCCCTACCCACTATTTTTTTTTTTTACTAGTTTGTAACCCGTGGAAATCACAATTATAAAATTAATTAAATTTTTTTAGTAAAAACTTAAAATTATTAATTAATTAGTCTAATTAAATTATTAATTAAGAGATTTTTATAGTTATATAAATTTAATCATTGATTCAAATAAATATATGAAATTATATCATTTTATAGTTTTTATTAATTTTTATTATAATATTATTAATTTAATATAACTAGAGTTGAAAATTTAAAATTTAAAATTTAAAATTTAAAATGGAATTGACAAGTGGATGCATTAATTATGGAATATAATAAGGTGACACATGATAAAAGAGAATAAAATATGTATTAATTAGGAGATCTAATAGGATAATACATATTAAAAAGAGAATAAAACTATTCTTTTATTAGAATAAAGATTTTATTTTTTATTTTATTTTTATTTTTATTTATGCGTCGATAAAACAAATAAGAAGTTATCCACCTTACGTAACCTGCCCAAGATCTTGACCCAAATATAGCCCTCAACTTTTCATTTTTACACCTTTAGCCTAAGATTTAATTTTTGTTGTGAATTTTGTTCAATTTTTTTTTAATTTAATTTTTTCAACTTCTTTTTACAACCTTTTTTTTATTAATTAAACTTAGGCATTGTTTGTTTTTTTGAAGCAAAAATCCATAAAGTCTGCGGACCACCTCTGCAACCTCTTCAGTAGAAGAGGTGGACCAAACGGCTGCAAACTGTAATAAAAAGCGTGTTTATTTTTTAACATCTGCATGTTGTTGCAGATGTTAAAAAATTAAAATAAATTGATTTTTCGAAAATAGTTTTTAATACAAAAAATTTAATAATTTCTGACGTTCCGACAAAATTTTATGATATCTCAGCAAAAAATAAATATATTTAAAAAAAATAAAGATATTTTAACATAAAATAATGATATTTCATCAACAAATTGTTATTATTCTATGTAAAAAAAGAATAAAAAATTCAAAAAGAATAAACAAAAAAAACGAAAAAAAATATGAAATAAGATTTCAGGAATATATAATCAATATTTTAGCAGGAAAAAAAGAAGAAGAGTTTGGAAGACGCAAAACAAATGCTAAGCGAAGAAGAATATATGCAGATGTTTTATAATTCGAAGATTTCTGAAAAACAGACAGCTGCGAGATGAAAAATGTTGTTCGTGTGTTGCACTACGCAACAAGAAAATGTCTGAGAATATTTTTTTTTTTCAAAAAAAAAAAAACAACACCTTCGTTATTTTATTTACAAAATTACGTTATACACAACTTCTTTTACTCATTACTGTACAATTTGGCTTTTTATGAATTCGTTATTACCTTTTATATAAATTTACCTTTTTAACGTTTTTTAATAATGTGTTTTAGTGCATGGTTTTTTTAAGATTTTTTTCTTTTTTATAAATTAGTTTTTTTTGTATGTTTGTATTCTTTTTTGTTTAAATATGTGTTTTTTTTTTTTTTTTTTTTTTTTTTTTTTTTCTTATAGTTGTTTTTACACAAGTGTCCTCTTAGGTATAATTAAAGCTAATATACTCTAAATCATATCTTACTTATTGTCCATATATATAATTTTTTGTTACATCGTACATGGCGAGCATAAGCTTTTTGCAACACCGGTTACCAATTTTTTCCAGTCGTGAGGTACCTTTTGGAATTGCCAATTTTAGCCTCCCCGATTTGATTTATTTAATTTCAATCCTATTAAAAAAAATCTAAAAAACTTACCTGGAAATTCACACAAGAAAGCCAAGTTTGTGCTATTGATATATAAAAAATCATTTAGATGGGTTTTGTATAAAAATACAATAAATGAAAAAGTAATAAGAGTATGTATGAAGGTAAAATTCACACTTTTCGCCCAAAAAGAATCGAACTTCACCTTTTGACATTCTCATCATTGAAGAAACACTAACATCATCCTCCCCTCTTTTATGTCGACTATATGCCTCTTTTCAATAGAATAATCTTTTTTCTTACTCACATACTAAAGTCATTTCAATACTTTATGAAATACTTAATGCATAGAATAACAATGTATTTAAATTAAATTCTATTTTTGACAATGCATTACACTTCTCGTCCACATTTTGCTAAGACCAACCATCAATCCATCACAATTGGTTTACATAAAAAACATTAAAACACAAAAAACATCACCTAAATAAAACATAAATCACCAAAAAAATACTATTGGGTAAGAGGAACACATTCGAGCTCGATTTGTAAAATACCCTTCTCAACATTTTGAAGTTTAAGAGCAATCTCTTGCTTCACAGTGCCTTTCGCGAGCGTGATCACACCATCTTTCACAACCGTGTTCTCCAAACTTGCTACCCACTTTCCTTGAGTTGATGAGTCATTAACATCCGAATTCTCAGATGCTTTTGCAGCTGACACCAATGGTTGAATATCAATCTCAGCATCACCCATGAAATCATCCGCCTTCAATGTATCCCGATCATACACAGTCTACAACATCATGTACATGTAGATATTGTTAGTCTATATTATTAGCCCGCTTGTTTATTAACTCTTTTTTGTCTTTAGCCCATTAGGATTTCTGTCTAGCTAGTATTTATATCCGCTTTATTCCTTATAGTCTATATGCTTTTCTCTGAGAATCCTTGTAATTTCTCTTTGATATAATCATATGACAATGTTATCAGATATAACTTCCTCAATACACAAACTTTTATAAATTTGTTTTTACATAAAAACGTAACTTTTTTTTAACTTACTAATCTTAAAGGAGGCATGTTGCTCGGGATCGATAACATTAGCTTTTCATTCCATACTGGATTAAGGCTGCTCTTTATAACACGTGTCTTCACAGACTGCATCATTTTTACAATATCATGACTTTTAACTGTCGTTAGACTTCAATTGTGTTATGACAAAATTAACAAGTCAGAGGCATACTTGGTTTCCTAGAGAGAGGATGACATAAGGATCACTAGTCATCATATCCCGAACGGCTAGATTGGTGCCTTTGACCACGTTGACTTTTATCAATCCAATAAATTCAACCATACCTGCCTATATACACAAAATATCAGACATATATATACGAAAAACACAAATAAATTAGTAATTACCATTGAGTTGCTTGTCTTAGGAGGTGGCTTGTGTTCGTTGTCTTTCTTTTTCCAGCTGTTGCGAAAGGCATGGCTGATACTTGGCATAAGGACACTGTTTGAGTGCTTCTTGTCCATTGTAGCGGTATTTGTGGAAGCGGACTCCATGGATGATGATGGACATGGAGATGCACGATCGCATATTTGTTTATCGGAGTTCAAAAATTGTTGCACTTCGTATTTTCTCCTGAATACGCAATTAAAA